TCGCCTAGCTGGTCTTCAAGATTCTTCTTCGGTGGATACTCCTATGGAGGTCAATTTGAAATATCGAAGTGAGGAGGGCGATCTTCTTTCTGATCCTACTATGTTCCGACAGTTGGTAGGCAGCTTGAACTACTTGACTATTACTCGGCCTGATATTTCCTTCGCTGTTCAGCAGGTTAGCCAATTTATGCAGACTCCACGCCACCTTCATTTAGCTGTTGTCCGCCGTATCATTCGGTATCTTCTGGGGTCATCTAGCCGTGGGTTGTTCTTCCCAGCTGGCTCTTCTCTTCGTCTTGTTGCTTATAGTGATGCAGATTGGGCCGGATGCCCTGATACTCGGCGGTCTGTCACGGGTTGGTGTATGTTTCTTGGTGATTCTTTGATTTCTTGGAAGAGTAAGAAACAAGCTCGCGTTTCTAAATCATCTACTGAATCCGAATACCGGGCAATGTCTGCTGCTTGTTCTGAGATTGTCTGGCTTCGTGGGCTTCTGGCTGAGCTTGGTTTTTCTCAATCTGATTCTACTCCTCTTCATGCTGATAATACTAGTGTCATTCAAATCGCTGCTAATCCTGTTTACCATGAACGTACGAAGCATATTGAAGTAGACTGTCATTCTATTCGAGAAGCCTTGGACACTCGTGTTATATCTCTTCCTCATGTTTCCACTGATCTTCAGATAGCTGACGTATTCACAAAGGCCATGACACGACAGCGTCATCAGTTCCTTGTGGGCAAATTGATGCTTCTTGATCGACCAACATCAATTTGAGGGGGGATGTTAATCAGATATAGCATATATATTTTGTATATTTAGCCATAATTAGTTTCTCTAGTTATGGTATGTTTTTGTATAGTATCTTGTAATTAATAGGTAGATTTTAATTGCCTTGTTTATTCTTGTAATTGTTCTATATAATAGGAAGAACCCTCACATTGAGAGGTATTCAATACAATTGACAATCCGTAGGTTCCAACCCGACTTATTGCAGAATCCCTATGGAGCCATGTTGAGCCTGAAACAGACTGGAACTGTGGAGGACTATCGGGATGAGTTTGATAAGGTAATAGCTACACAGAAGAACATAGACAGGGGTATGCTGAGAGGCATTTTTATCAATGGCCTCAAGGATGAAATCAAGGCTGAACTGAAACTCTTCAATGGCAAATCTCTAGCTGCTACCATGGACAGGGCTCAAGCGATTGAGCAAAAGAATGATGCTATATACACTAAGGGTAAAGCTGCGGAAAGAAGCGAGGGTAAAGACAAGGGACCCCGTCACTTTAGACAACCAGTTTGGGGTGAAGGCTATAACTCCAAACCTGGGAGTTCAGGGCCACCAACTGGTGGCAGAAATGCACCAGAAAATTGGGGGAACCCACCATGGTTTACTCAGGACGGGAGGAAGGAAACAGAAATAAACCCCTCAGACATGAGAAGAGTAGGGCCACAACTGACACAAGAAGAATACCAAGATAGAAGCCGGAAGGGGCTTTGTTTCAAATGCGGTGAAAGATGGGGAAGAGAGCACTCATGCAAAATGAAAAATTACAAACTGATTTTAGTGGAAGATTCTGAGGGAGAAGAGGAATTAGATAATTCAGAAGGGGTAATCCCTGAAGATGAAAAGATCACCATGGAATCCAAGTCCATGCAATTATCCTTCATAAACCAAGAGGGAAAACCCTCCATGAGGGCTTTTAGGGTTCAGGGGATTCTGAAATGGGCTAAGGGAGGGAAAGCTAGTGGATGTTCTAATTGATAGTGGGGCCTCACACAACTTCATATCCCAGAAAGTGGTAGAGCAGTTAACCCTCCCTTATCAGACCATTGCTGGCTACCAAGTGCAGCTTGGGAATGGTGATAGGGTCTTCAACAAGGGCAGGTGTGAAAAATTCATTCTGAGCTTGCAGGGAGCTGTCTTTCAACAAGATTTCTACATGCTGGAGTTGGAGGGAGCTGACTTGGTTCTTGACATGGATTGGTTGACTGGATTAGGGGATGTGGAGATTAACTTTCAGAAGCAGAGCATAAAGTGGCATCATCAGGGGATAAGTCACACAATTCAAGGGGATCCTAAGTCAAACTCTATGGAGGTATCTCTGAAGACCACGTCACAAACTGTACAGGAGAATGGTGTGGGCTATCTTATCTACTGGGAAGGCAGAAAATGGGATGGAGAGGGAATTCAGCTGAAGGATTCCAAGTTGGAAGGAATTGAGGGGAAGAGGAAAATTGATTACACAATTGAAGTTGGTATGGGAGTTCTTATAAGGGTTCAAACTGGTTTGTTCCTGGATCCATTTAGAGCTGCAACGCCTCATAGCAGGACTGCCTTAGAACCCTTACATGAAGAGGTTGGTTACAAGGAGGAGGCTTCAAGTGTAATTCCAGGGAATTTTTATACCCAGTTTCTGCCCCTGTTGGCTGTGGAAAATGTGATGATGAAAGTGAAAGAAATGAAGCTCCCAGAGCAGAAAACCAAGAGGTACTGGGAAGGGAGAGGTTCCAGGATGAAAGGGAAGTTCAAGATCAAGGCTGTGTCTTATTACCCACCTTCAGGGCAAGGTGGTTATTTAGGGGGGGAGTAATGTTAGGAATCTGCCTATTTAGTACTTTTAATAGGGTATTTGAAAGGAGAAATAAAGGGGCTGGGGGTCAGTTTAGTAATTACTTTAGCTATTTTAGTCCCTGCGTGGACTTAATGCTATAAATAGGAAAGGGGAGTAGCGTAATAGGGAGACTGTTATTTGATTAAATGTTGCCTTGTTGCCTAAGAAGTCCCTGTCCCTGAGTTACCTACGGTTTATCAATAAACCCTATTTCTCTATCCTTCATCAGATTCTTGCTTGTTAGTTTACTGTATTGCTCAGATCTGTCCAGGTACCTAACAAAGAATCTACTGGCGATAACGATAGAAGGTGCTCGGTTAGCAAGGGCGAACTGAGAGAAACAGTTCGCGACTGCGAACTAGGGAATTCTTGTGACTGAGATGGAGCTTTGCTTTTTGAATTCACGCAGCGACGTACCTTCCTCGATCTTCCTCGCCGGTGATGTTGTTTGCTCTTCTCACGCTTCTTCTTATCCTGGCTGTAGCGTTTCTCTTTCTCAGGTTTAGAACTCTTCTCTTTCTCCAGATTTGAGCGTTTCTCTTTCTCCAGTTTTGGGCATTTTTCTCTCTCCGAATTTAAGCTCTTCTCCTTCTCCATATTTCCGCGCTCCATCGTTTCTGCGAGTTTCCCCAATTTTCCGTGCGGATCCTTTAGCGAGTGAGAAACAATTATCGGCTCCTTCTGCGACTTGGTGAGCGACTGTGATGGACTCTGTTTATCAGAAAGACGATGATGTTTGGTATTGCTCGATCGATGCAATCTACGATTTAGACACTCACAGTCGTGCAAGATACTTTTCAACCTAGCGTTCGTCTCCTTCATCTGTTGGTTCGTCTCCTTCATCTGTTGATTCAGATTGTTAAATCTTTCTTCCATTTGCGGTGTCATATAGAATTCCTCCATCGTTCTGATGATTCAGATTTTGGAAGTAACGTGCTCTGATACCAATGTTAGAGTTATCCAATTATTCAGATAATTCTCAGGAATATCTCAAGAAAACGATCTGCAATTTTATTAACGATGAACAAGAATCTGGCCGAAGCCCCCAATGGCCGAAGCCTCCAAAGAAAGAGAGTATTAGTCTCTAACTTCCCAATACAAGATAAAAGTCTAAACAGCCTCCTCACCCATTCCAGCTAGCTACTATTTATAGTAAGTAAGTAACTAATACAACCGAAGACAGTTATTAGCTAACAACACCCTTAACTAATAACTAACTCTACTTTCTTCTAGAATATACTTTGCCAAAGTATCTATCTTCTATTTCCGAATTAGTAGAGTCTCTAACATTAGCTGACCAGCTCACAGCTAAAAAGGCAAATGAGTGCTCCGGACAGGATTAGAAGTTGGGGTCTTTGGTCCACTAACTCACACCTTGACCAGCAAAGCTGGGGAATAAGAGTTAGAGTGCTTAGTAAACAACTATGTGTGATTTGATCAAAATTTTGATTTTACAGACTCAGAACAACAAACTGTCATCCCAGATAATCCAATTAGGATGCCTAGACCTGACATGTGGATTGAAAGCAGAATATGAATCCCAGAATTGGGATGATTCCCCCTAAAAGTGAGTTTTCCTGTATTCTGATACACACACACTGACACACCAAATGCAGCTATAAATAAGAGAACGCCATCAAATGAACTTCAATTAAAAATATCCTCAGAAAGTTAGGCTGTATCATAAAACCTATGTAGCCAATGAACTTCTCATATACAGAATAAAAAGTGAATAAAACATGCGGAAATTGTAATAAGTTATTTTAATTCTAATACTTGAGACATACAAGCTACATGCCTACAGAGACATAGTAATATACTAGAAAAGGTGTAAAAATATTACCTCTACACTTTTGGATAGCAAAAATATGACTAGTTTTTATTTTTGAAAAAATGTAACGTTTGTTTAATTAATATACTCCGTACATTTCTTCTGCTTCTAATTCCTGCCAATTGCCCTCCCCTGCCCCCACCCTGTCCCAGTGCTGCCTCTGGCAACCACAGTCAACAGCTGCCTCCAGAAACCGCTGGTAAACTTGCCCGAAAATTTTGCACGGGAATTTTCAAGTTTTCAATTTAAAAAAGAAATCGTGGTAACCGTGAGTCCGTTACATATTTCACGGCGGCGGCGCGGGGCGGTGACAATGATTGAGGCAACAATGACACTGGTAGGAAGTAGTAACATAATAAACTGACATAATTAATTGGTAGTAACATTCCCTACTTTTCAATTTTATTACCTTTTTAGCCACATTTTTGTTCATGTTGAAAGTAATAGTTTTTTTGGGAATTTAACTTCAATATAGTAACATTTAACCAAATATCCCAAGATACTAAGGTTTATATAGGTAATACTAATAGTCTAATAGTGGCAGAAAATTCACCGGACCAAGCTGAACTAGTATCTTCCTCAGTCCCTCAGCTCTAACCTGCATGAGGTAAAAAGATGCTTAAATTGCGGAATGGTTGTTCATTTATAGGGACATATACAGAAGTACGTATTCAACACAAAATTTCACAACAGTTAATGCATACAATTTAGTCTAATTTTATTTCGAAAATCGACTAACACTCTACCTTAAACATCTCCTCCACTCGTCCACTTAAGGAATCGATGTATCTGAGGGCGAACCATTTTCCGAAAGTGGATACAATATGGAGGAGTCGTCGCAGCACAACAAACGGCTTATTCTGATAAACTTCATAAATTTTCGAGATGCTGTACTCTGTAAGCGCTTCCTCCTCGTCAGGACTCAGCTCGAAAAGATAACTGGAGTACTTGGAAAAGCCATCCTCCTCACGTACAGCCGCCGGCAGCAATGGTGCTACGCAGCAGACGTTTGAGAAGCTGAAACCGACCCGTTTAGGCCAGCTAAAGCGCAAGAACGAACGTCCGGGAATAGACGGGGTGGAGAATAGGGGCGGCGACGGTGGGCGCGCTACTTGCATTTTCCTTTTTGTCTGAAGATAGAGTGGGAGTTTGGTTGCAAAACTTAGCCAGATGCCCAGATATTCCGTAAAAGAAGGAAGTATCCCGATCTTAGACTTTGGATTAATGATAAATTAATGGGTAGCTCTTCGGTGCCTTCTCGAACGTTTTGGTGCATCATACATATGGCCAAATTCCATTGGATATACATTACACGTAAACCTCTCATTAAAAAATAAAAAATTTACATTTTGAACCTTCCCCAATTAAGAAATTCGTCTACGCCCTATTCAATCTAAGTAGTTGTCCATTCGTAGTTCGTATCATCGACATTTCATTTTCTCCTCATTTTCTTCTCCAGCGTCACCGGAAGCAAGGTTTGACGCCAATTCCTTCGTTGAGGTAGTATGCTCACTGGAACACTCTGGTCACCCTTGTTCCAGTTTCGGAAGACCCGCCTCCACCGGTTGCAGACCGAAGCCAAACCAGTACAACTGCCTTAGGAGAAAGATGATCAACAAATTTGTTGATGAGAAAAAGCTAGATCTTCTCCCCAAACTAGCTTCCATGATAGGATTACAAAACCAGACAGGTGGAATAGTGGAATGGCAACCAAAAATCATTGTGACATAAGAGTTCCCATTCTGGACTTTTCTATATTGTGACCGTTGGTAGGCATTCTCTTTTTGTTATAGAGTTTTTTTTTCAAACACGGTGTTTTATTCCCTCTCCAAATCAGTTTATGGTGTAGATTATAGAACATTAGACTGTTTTATGATTTGAAATGATTGAAATTAGATAAAATTGCACTTCAACCTTTAGATTCATTGTAGTTCTAGTAATTATGATAAATGATAACCATGGCCCTAACTTAGGCTGTAGGTTGTTAACATATCAAAATGATTGGTGTTTGTGGTGTTAGTTTTGTGTAGTTCCTGAATTCCTAGTGGTTTTGTTGTTTGAGTTAACCTGCTTAAATGTTTCTGGGAGATGCCCCTGTACTTGGTGCTGGTTTTTATATGAAGTTTATGATTACAACAACAACAACCTATAATGAACCGACTAGTTACTCTAATCGAAATCCTTGTACAACAACAACGACTACATCCAAGCCTTGTCCCAAGAGAGTTTTTGATTGGCTAAAATCAATTGACATGAAATCATAACTAATCCAAATCCTTATATACTCATAAAACTCTTGGGCGTTGGTTTGGCCTATTTACTCACTATTAAAGTTGTCCAACTCACTTTGGGCTAAGATGATAATTTAAAGTTTGAGATAAAGCTTATGTGGTGAAGATTTTTTGGGGCGACTGATGCCTAACTTAATTTCTTTTATACTCCGGTGCATGACTCTTTTATACACTCGTATGAACTATTGTAGGGTGAACATCTGATACTTGGGAATCTCGGGGATTCTCAGGTGGTAATGTGCACCAGAGATGACACAGATCAACTTGTTCCGGAACAACTGAGAGTCGACTTGAAGCCTAACCTTCCAAGTAAGGTTTCATGTTTCTTGTTCTGTTGATATCCATTTTGAGAGGTGTTGAATGAATGATACAATGAGATTGAGTTTTCTCATGTAGTCACTTCTAAGACTTAAATTGCAATAGTAATCCAGTCTTATATGCTACTTCTAGTGTTTATTACATCTAACACATTTCAGATGTGCAACTGTTAAATGAAAGAGCAACTATTGTGTCATAGATATGGGATGTGCTAAGCAACTACGAGGTGATCCGGACAATTGCTTCAGCAGGGAAGAGATCAATGGCGGCACGAATGCTAGTCGAAAGAGCAGTTCGAGCATGGAAACACAATTACCCATGTTCTAAGTTTGACGATGGTCCTGTCATTTGTTTAGTCTTTAAACGCCCTAGGACAATGTTAACAAAATCCATGTCAGAGGTAGATCAGCTTAGCATGAGCTTCCCACCGCATGGCGGTAGTAATGATAATTCCCCCATCACTGCCCAGACAGATGATGGCCTTGACACGCTTCTTAGTTATTTCATCCTTGAGTCATTCGGATCATATTTCAGCAAACTTATTTGATTCATCAGAGGTATCAAGGGTGGCATTAAATCAATATTTGCACACCAAACATAAAAATGCTAAACCAAACATGAACATGACAGTATGATAGGGACAATGGGACATGGACCTCCAATAATAATAATAATAATAGAATTATACTAAGGAGTGTGATATTGTATAAATAAGGGTTTTGGGCTAGGTACTAGTTAGCTTGGGCCGGCCCATAAGGGAATTTATTATAAATAGGAGTGGAGTAGAATAAGAGGGTAGGCAGAATTTGGATTGGACTGGGACTTGGGAGAGACGAGGCACTCTGGAACTTGCCTCATCTGTATTGTTACTTTCAGTTTCTTCAATTTCAGTTTTCAAAATCAACCATTCATTGCCAGATTTCTGTGTATCTATCACAGTAATTCCATGAAACACAAAAAAAAAAGAGAAAAGAGCATAAAAGCAAGAATCAAACAACTTTTTTCCAGAACTGGTAGAAAAGAGTTTTTCAAAGTTTCTTCAAGCCTTCTTATTTTTAAGCATTTAGTATAGAGGCCAAACTCCTTGAATCTATTTTATTCATATAAAACATAGATATATTATGTAACAAAAATTAATCTTCATGATCCCGTAAATCTGCAGCACTCTTAAAAGGACCATCTCTCTTGTTCACAAATAGATCTTCCCCATCCAACACCCGTCTCTGAAACACGATAAAGATCATTCATCACACGTATGTTAAGTCACCCCTTTTAGAGATAAAAAAGAGCAAACAAACATCCAATTAAAAAAAGAGCCAAGATACATGGTTAGTGATGCTAGAAAGAGCTTCAAAATCTTCTTAAGGTAATTCCCATTCAAAAACACTTATGTTTTCTTTGATCCTATTAGCATGATTTGATTTGGGAATGGTACTGGTTCCTCTTTGAATATCCCACTTGACAGGAACTTGGCCTGGGCTCTTATTCAGTTTCTTTGCCACCTTGTCCACCACAGGGTCATGTACAAGATCCCTTTCATATGAGCCTAAAGGTGAATATGCCTAACACTAACAGTGCCCCAAATGCAGAATAGATTAATGCTTACAAGTTACTTAAAATATAAATAATCGAGACATTATGTTCTACTCATAATGTCGGGTCTGAATCAAAATAATAGTTTCTGAAACATCAAGATAATAGTAACAACATAAGACATGATGTTCCACTCAAAAAGGTGAACTTGATAGGGGAATAACTCATAAATTGTGTTATATTAAATCAGTGTGGGACAAATACTTCCAGAAATGTATGTTAGTACCATCACATGTACGTTGTTCGGCTTGAAAGCTTTGTCATTCCTCCATCCAAGGTGCATCTCCATCCTGCAAACACTAGGCTTTTTCTTGGGCAATATTTAGCAGCTTTTGGAGCTTCTTGACGGTGAAATTGCAAACCCCAATATCTCTCACTATCTTGTCTGTCACTAGCTTCTCCATTTATCTCCAAAGTCCTTCCATGTAAAACTCAGAGACTTCACCGGCTTTTGGAGGCCTGCTAGCTCCCTCCTTCAGGTGGAATGGCCAGTGAATCTATCCAGCCAATCCACATTTTCCATCATTAGAAGCACATAAAAATATTATAGTACAAATTTGTTCAAATATATGAATGTTAAAAGATGACCACAAGTTTCCATTTTTAGTTTTTGGAAATGATATTCCTCTTATTGATCCTTTTCACCATGTACTTGAAAATGATTGCACTTGTGCTTATAAGTTAAATGGGTGAATGATTGTCATGTTGCTCAAAAGAAATAACCAATTAAAGCCACGATTATACATGTCAAGAATATGAAGTTCAATTGGCAAAAAACAGAATACGAAGTAAAAGATTCCAAGAATTAGGAAAATAATCATACTATCGTATGCAAAATCAATTTCATGACCATTATCTTGAAGAGCACCCGGATCAATAATCATCACTGTTAAGAAGTAGAATAAAAAACTGATGGATCTAAATGCAAAATCACCAGATTGCTGAAACCTTTATATATGACATTTTGGTATCAATACCTCCATATATTATAAGAGACAAATGCAAACTTAATGCAAATAGTGATGTCTGCACAAGCACAAAATGATTCATGTTCTGGGCAGAGCAATAATGAAATCCTCCAACCACATTGATAGCCCGTCCACTTATGTTCTGGGCAGAGCAATAATGAAATCCTCCAACCACATTGATAGCCCGTCCACTTATGTTGAAATTCCTCTTGCATATTCAAAACCTACTTGGCTAGTGATGTGAGACATATTTCGTACAGAAATAGAAGCACATCCATGCCATACTTTATTTCACCTTCTTGCGGAAAGGTTGAAGGACTTTTTTCTGCACGAGACAATTAGACAGAAGTGCAACAAGTAACCTATAAGATTGAAAAGTTTGTTGCTATTATATACAGTGCCCCACGGTATACAATTGTTCCTGCGTGGATTGACACTACCACGAGGTAGCAGATCTGTGACTCTGCGAGTCAAATAGAGAAGTACATGAATGAACTCGTTTTCACACCAAAGCATCAAAGCTTAAGCCACTCGCACTAAGGGACATTATTAATGCATAATTTACAATAAAAGCTAAGAACCACCGAACAATAGCGTAACACACTTCTATGTTATCATATCAGGTTTCCTAAAGGAGCAACAGTACCAGAATTCATAGCCATGGCAGATGGCCGTTGAAGGTGAATTTTCTAGAAGACTGTGACATCGTAGATGACAATATAGACCTTCTAGATGATGACGTGGGCCTTTCATTTTTCTTGCCCACGTTCTTCGCTTTCGTAGCCTCCAGAAGGACTCGAGCTTTTGCCTCTTGGTTTGGCTTTCGCAGTCTATGTTCTTACGTAAAATGTAAACCAGAAAATTGGTTGTGCATTGGGGAATGAACTCGTTTTCACACCAAAGCATCAAAGCTTAAGCCACTCGCACTAAGGACTTCTGTGCAATAAATATATTTGAAATTAAAAAGTGAGGTGTGTTAAATTACCAATGAGATGCTACCAAGTATTAAATGCACCGATACATCCCTCAATGTGTATGCACCATAAAATTTTCCTAAATTAATTCTATTTGTGGTACTATACGGAAAACCAAAATAACACACTG